TACTGTTTCTATTTGAATAGCAAGCACATAACTTAAAAATTAAAAAGAAAAAATAAGCTGAACATGGTCTAAAATATAAAATTCTTCAAAAGAATTTAAAAAATAAGACAATATTTTTAAACATAATTTTGGTTTTATTTTAAAATCCTTATTATTTATTAAATGGTAGTTTTTTTAATTATCTAGGTATTATATATTAAAAAGTAAACATTTATGGTATGTATGTATGTTTTTAATAATAAAAAAATGAATCAATAAATATTTTCACCCAAGTTCAATGTTAGGGGTAATTATTTAACAACGAAACCAAAGAAAGTTATAAATCAATTGATTTCAAGCATTCAGCTTTTCAATCAGACAAAAAACAGCAAATATATTTGATATAATTAACACGGCCCTTAATTTAAGATGGTTTTAAGACAACTTTCTTCTTGCAGCATTATTAATATATTTAAATTAAAATGTCGAAACTTTATGCAGCAGCTTTTAAAAAATTTAAAAATTGGTGCGTCAAAAATTATTCAGAAAATGTTTTACTGGAGTATTATTTATTAGAACTCACAACCATCAGAACAATGAAATCTTTGACAATGTGGTCAAAATATTCAGTGATAAAATCAGTACTTAATACCTATAATATGAAGTGGATTTCAGCAAATTCATAAAACTGAATTTGAGCAATGAAAATTGAGCAATTTATATCAAATGCTCTTGATAAAGAATAATTGGGAATGAAGGTAACATTTTTATCACATTTCCATTAAAGTATAGAATAACTAAAATATAAATCGGTATAAATTTTCAGATAGAAATAAATATCCTAAAAATAGAAAATGGAAAATCCGTGTTAGCAAATAAAATAATTATTTCATCATTTTATTTTAAAATAAAATGAATCCAATAAATGGGCTAAATTGAAGCACATTATCGGACAGACGTTAACAAGAGCCATTCACGTTTATTTTTTTTATCAGCGCTGTCACAAACAATCCAACAAACTAGTACGAAATTCAACGTTTGATGTAAATATATCGTATACCTAATGAAATACTTTTTTTTAATCATTTTATCATGTTTAGTGGCATGATCCAACATTTTTTTTTATTATTTTGTGTATTATTGTGTAGATATTAAGTGAATATTTTTTTGTTATACAGGGTGTTCCAAAACTCGCGCCACAGAGATAAACGGGGCATGCTGATAGCAATGGAGATGCCAAATTTAAAAAAAAAACAAAGGTAATAGTGTAATCAAATGAGAGCAAAAAAGCGGCAGCCAATACCCAGAGCTCTCGCCTAGGTTAAATAAACGTCTGAAAACTTTTAAAAATCTTTTGTCTAACTGTTTACTAACCTTTTAAAAAGGGTCATTCCATAATTTCGGGTGTTACATTTGTTCAACAAAAGTATAATTTTTAATGTATTTTGAAATAATATTTTAGCAATAAAAGTGCCTTTATTCTCTACGTTTTTAGTTGTTCTATCTAAATTGTAAAATTAGTACAGTTTAGCATATAGGATAACGATTTAATAAGTCGAAAAGTGTGCGTTTCGGGTGTTTCACGATTCTGCCTCTATGTCCTGACCATGTTACATTTATTTGAAATTCAGCGAATTTTTTTAGGGAAACATTCCTAAAAAATACAGGCCTCCAAAAGTATAATATTTACTAACCATCTACCATATAATCACTGCCGCACATAACGTTTTACTATCTTTTTTATAAAATTTTACTTTATTTCGTGTGTTACCATGGTTCTGTTTCGGGTGTTAAAAGTACAAAAATTAAACATTTTATATGGACAAAATCGGTGTTTTATTAGAATGAATTCTCCTTTAACATAACTTAAGCAACTTCGGGTACCATTAATAAATAGGTGGAAACATAATTATTGACGCGAAAAACGTAGCATGCGTTATTTTGGTAGGTCCGTTGCTATTTCGGTTGAAATACCGAAATTTAGGTAGGTTCGACAACATCGGAAAAGCAGTCACACCTTTTTAAAATATGTGTGACTGCTTTTCCGATGGCGGCGCTAGTGAGTCGTCGAAAGAGCCTTAAAAATAATTCTTGTTGCATTATTCAAGCAATACACACACATATATCGACATACGAAACGTTTCGGGTGTTACAGTTTTTAATCAAGGAAAACATATATCAAATTAGTCTCATGCTCAGCTATTAGTTAGTATTTTAAATCAATAACACAATAACCTTACATAAATCAATCTGTAAGGTATAATATTAAAACAATTACCTAATTTTTCGTTTCGGGTGTTACAGTGGCAAAGTAACAAGAAAACACACTTATAACATGCACGATAATTTTCAATTTTTTCGGGGCTGTGACGCAATCTACCAATACTACGATAAATAACATTTAATCCTAACGTGGCAAAACAGTTGACAGATTGACATTTTTTCTCTCGTATTTCCAAAAGTTTTAGGCACAATGGTCATTCAGCCAGTTCAGTTGAGTACAGATTTTGAAGACTAACTTAAAAATTACGCATTTCTTTTAGTTTTTTTGTCGCACATTATAATTTGGAATGTTTTCTTTCAAAATTCATCAGATTTAATGCAAAAAGAACATATTTATTTTTTTAACGGGAAATTCGCGTGCAACTTCCCTTATGCTTTTTCTACTATTTGCATTAAAGGCATTTAAAATAGCTTCTAACAGAACAACTTTATAGTCCAGGGGACGATTGGGAAAGCGCTGGGAAAGAATTCGTGATGCCTCCCTAGCATTGCGCCCATACTCCCCATAATTAATCATTATTACGGCATAATTAGAGGAGAAAAAACATAACTTAAAATAATAAATAATGACAGAAACAAAAATTGACAGCAGTGTCACAATGAAGTGGATTCCAGTCGACCAAATATTTTACATATTATAATATCAACAATGCATCCTAAGTCTCCTAGCAATTTAAAGAATTCCATATGGCCATGTATTGGAATTGGCTATCGTTTTAATTCTTATATCGCTTATCCTTTGAGTTAGATAACTTTAATTTTCAAGTGGCGCGAGTTCTGGGACACTCTGTATATTGTACATTTTAAAAGAAAAAAAATGATGTTAGTTAATGGAATTAGTAATGTTTTTTGTTTATCCCCCTAATAACTCCCAACTTTTAATTAAGTTTCCTACAAATAGAACAGTCTTATTTTTATTAATAATTCAACCACATTCTGATAAAAAATTTAGAAATAACGGACACCCCAATGTTTATGTGTAATATTAGAATTTTTACATGTAAGAGTATCCCTTGAAATATAAATTATTTATAAGTATACGAAAATTGTGACGTTAGAGAATATCATGAAAGTTTTGTAGAGTTGGTTATATTTGTCAAGGGATAAACACATTAAAATTTAATAAATCAAACGTTTTTATTACATTTTAGATTAAGGATGTTATTTACTTTGCCGTTTTAGATTTTTTAAGAATGACGCTTTTATGAATTCTCTCAAGACCATGTAGGAAAAAACAGAGGGCCCAAGATTGGCCCTTGCTTGGCCCAATTTCTAAGCAATATTTATTTAAAAAAAAATTAATAGTTTAGATTTAAAAAACGTATTCCAATGTAATGTAATATTTTATTAAATTAATCGAAAATAAGATTTCATATTTTTCACAGATATGTCAGGATGGCCGAGCGGTCTAAGGCGCCAGACTCAAGGTTTCCTTGCCTATTCCATAGGTTCAGAGCGTTCTGGTCCACTTTGTGGGCGTGGGTTCGAATCCCACTTCTGACAAACTTTTTAAAATTTTTCATTTAAAATTTGAAATTTGTTTAAAAAATTCGTGTTTCCGCCCGGGATCGAACCGGGGACCTTCCGCGTGTTAGGCGGATGTGATAACCACTACACCACGGAAACAACATACCAACATTAGCCATCATAAGAAATTTCCTAAGATCAGTGGCGTAGCCTAGTTAAAGCAAGTTTTTTATGTTTTACGACTTGTTTAAACTTTGACTACTAAAGAAAAGATATCCGGTGTATTTTTTAGAAAAGTTCCGTACTTTTAATAATTTTAATAATAATAATAATAACGTACTTTTAATACTTAATAAAAAAAGCCAAAAACCAAAATAATTTTTTATTTTTTTAAATTATTTATTCCAATTTTTTGTTATAAATATCAAATTAAACCATTTTTTGTCGTAAAAACGTAAAAAAACTGATCAAAATAATTCTAACAAAAGTACAATAAACTAAAAAAGCATAAATAAACAAATTGTTCAACAATAATCAAAACACACAGATTTTACCCCAATAGCAAAAAATATGCAATAAATATTTTAAAAAAATGTTTTTTAAATATTTTTTGAGACAGATTTTTAAATATTTGTTAAATATTTTTTATATATATTTGTTAAATATTTTGTATATATATTTATTAAATATTTTGTATATATATTTGTTAAATATTTTGTATATATATTTGTTAAATATTTTGTATATATATTTGTTAAATATTTTGTATATATATTTGTTAATTATTATATATAAATATTATGTGAATATTAGTTTCAAATAATTTTGTAATATTTATCATATATATTATAATATATTATATATATATATATATATATATATATATATCACTTAAATATTAAAACAATTTCCCAGCAAATGAGAAAAGTATTGTCAACATTTAATTGAAAATAAAGTTTTTATTAAAGTTACAATTTACTTAACTTCAATAAACAAAGAATGAGAGTAATTATTGGTAATTATTAAATTATTATTTACAAAAATTCTTTATACTTACTGATTGCACATGTGTATTATCTTTATTTACCCAAATAAATTGGGGTCTATATCAGGAATTATTTTATAAATGTATGGAGCACCTTACTCATATTTCATTTTAGTTAAGTGTTTTGAAAAAGTCAAAATTCAATTTAAAAATAATACTTTTATTTGTAACTTAAATATTAATATTTAAATATTATTAATCATATTTTGAAATCCTCTTCAACATATCATATTTCGAAATCCTCTTCAACACTAAAAATTAAACACACATGTTAATGCAGATCCTACTTATTTTATTATAGAAAATGATAGTGTGCAATCACTTATTTCCAAAAAAATACAGTCTAAACCACCTAATAAACTTTATATGTAATATATTGAATTAATATGATTTTTTTTACTTGGAATTTATTCTTTTTTCCAATATTGTCCAAGATCTAGTCTAGTTTTAGTTTTAATCTTTTTTTTGCATTTTATGTTTTAAATTATAAATTATGCAAAAATGAAGATAATAAAAAATATATTCTATTTAAATAATAACTTTTGGAAATACACTTACCCTTTTAATGAGTCCCTCTTACCACCTAATCTAGATTTTGATGTGGCCAAAAACAATGAAACTGATTTTTTTATTTCATCGTCAGTTACAGAATTATGTCGTTTTCTAATTGCGGCTAAAATATATAATTATAATCTTTAATTTAATTATTAAAAGTTATTTTAGGTATTTAATGTGCTCCAAAGAAATAATGAATTTAAATTTAAATTTTCTTTGGCCTTTTCTACAAATCCGTGGTTTTGGGGAAAAAGGGGTTTAATAATTTTTGGATATAAAAAAAGTTAACTACATTTCCTCATACAACTTTTCATATGCTATCTTATGGGCCATATCTCAAAAGGCACATTAGAACAACAATGTTGAAATAGCGATACACTTATCCTGTTTGAGTATGAGAAAATGCAGTTAACCCTTTTTTTATCCAAAAATAACTTATCCCCTTATTCACTGACACCACGGAAATTATAAAATTCAAATAAAAATTTTTTGACATGTTTGGTGTGACAGTAAAAACCTATGACAGTTAAAAATAACTAACATCCTAGTATCAAAAGGTAGTATTGTTAAAATTAGACGGTTTGTATGAAATATGCCCAAACAAAAGCAAAATCTGTGAATTTATATAATAGACTGTTCAAACTAATAAACATCAACTTATTTTATTTACTAACCAAAAATAGCTTGATACAGTTTCATATTGCAAAAGGGAATTTTTTTCTTTTTGCCTTGCCCACTGTATTGCAGTGCCAATTCCTTGGCAAACAGTTTATTCATTGCCAAGTACACACTTTTGTGTGCATTAGTTCCCCCAGCCAAATAAAGAAAATTTACCTAAAAATCAAAACAAAACATTTTAGGAAGTAAATATATATTTTTTCCGTTGTAGATTCATTTATAACAAATTACTTACCAATTCCTTCATTAGTGTGGGTTCAGCAATCAAGGCATCTACTTCCTCTAATTGTTTTTTACTATCACATGGAAGTTTTTCTAAAAAAACATTTGAAGTGTCAACCATAGTACTCTGATCAGCAAAATTATTTTTGTTGCTGCAATTGTTCATAAAATGTTCCATTTTAGAAAGGGTTACTTTAGTTTCTTTCATGTAAAATTTGATTTCAGTTAATTCCTCTAACAATGGAGCTAAATCTAAAAAAAAAAAGTTAATTTATATAATCTTTTACTGACAAATTGGTTATAGTAAATGTTAGCTAAATAATTTACCTACCATTGGAAATTTGCCTTGACCCTGAAGAGACCTGCCTTAACCCTGGATTAGAGGAACTTGGTGTTTGATTGGAAAACAAAGCCAGTCTTGAAACTGTGGTATTGCTTTCAGAATTTTGGTTTGAAAAACGTTTATGATAATTTGGAGCTGAAATAAAACAAATATATCCATTCTTTTAAATATTTAAAAATTAAAATAATGTCAAGTTGTACAAAATCACCCAACTATTGTAAATTAAACTGTGGTTAGTGCCTATTTAAAAAGCATATTTTTCAAAATTTTACACTATAACGCTTTAATTAGGCACTAAGGGCTTAATGTTTAAATATACAGTTTAGTGTTTTGTATACAACTTACCCCAAACGTAACTTACATGAGGAAAATTGTTTTCTATTTTCTGAAAGACATGTATCATTTTCATTAGGGATGCACCGGAATTCCGGCGGTACCACTAAATCCGGCCGATCCGGCCAGTTGGCCGGAACTACCGTTCCGGCCGGATCGCTTCGGCCGGATCGCTTTCCGGCCGGATTTTTTTGAACTTTTTGGAAATGTTTAAGTTTAAAATTTTTAATATAATTTAAATTCAAATATATGCAAAAATAAAGAAAATTATTTTAAGGCTTTTTTAAATTGGTGCCTACTTACCTATTGTTAAGTCGTTAATTAATCACAAATAATTTTTTTTTGAACAAAATATATTTTTTTTCCAAGAATTACAAAACATAAATAATAACTGAAAACATTATTAACAGCCAAATTCTAACAGCAAAAATAACAGCCAAATTCCCTGTCATGGATAAGTCTTATATGTAAGATAAGTATACAGTTTACATAAAAAATTAGAGTGAGGAACTGTGATTCCCCGACTTTCGCGTCTGGGATGCCCCGACTTTCGACCAGATATATTTTGTAATTGGTCAACAGTGAAGGGTGTGCGTGTTTCCTTGCCTATGATAGACCGGCGGCTGTGGTTCCCCGACTTCTTTTTAATTTTTTTATTATTGGCAGGTGGCTGCTATTCTTCAATTGAATAAGTATAATTGTTTTAATTTTGTTAACGCTTATTAAAAATTAATATTTAAATAAACAGTAATTTCTATCCTAGTAAAATTAATACTGTAGCTAGTTTAAAAAAAAAGTAAAAATAAATCAGCCTCAATATTTTCAATGTTTTACGTATAAAAATAGGCATGCACATACATTTTAAATTTAGGTCCCGATCCGGCCGGAATTCCGGCGATCCGGTCCGGCCAGCGGCCAAAATTCCGGTTCCGGCCGGATCGGCAAAATACCCGATCCGGTGCATCCCTAATTTTCATGCGTATTTTTTAGGATACTAGAAGTCTGTTGTGCTAAAATTAGAAAAAAAAATAAAAGCAATAGGTGATTTATGTTTTTTGACGTACAATTCAAAGGCTCTGATGAAAATTTTTTCCGGATTAAGTTCTGTCCTCTGACTAAGGGCACATTCCCATCTGACGAGTCTGAATCAAATGTCAGCCTTTTAATAATTTTTCTCTTTTTCTTTCTACCTTCATTGTCACACTCCTGGTCAGTAATTTCAAGATTTGAAGTGTATTGTCCTTTGTCACATAATTCTTTTGCCTTCTGCAAATCTTTAACATATTCAACTTTGCAAACAGCATCAAACCATTCAAAAGGTTCATTTTCAAGAGACCCATTATTATTAATTATTTTTCTCATTTTAAAGTCGTTTTTACCCACCGGGTATTTGTATTTGGTTTTAGTGTGGTTGGCCCACGATGAAGGTACATAATCAATGGTGTTTTCTTGCGCCCATACGACAATGTCCCAAGAATGCACCATTTTTGGTTTAGTTGGTATAAATTATTTTAAACTAATAATAAAAAACAAGTTTCTTATAATTACTAAAGAAAAAATACAATTTAACATTACTTGCTAGGTTAAAAGAATATTTTAGGTACTTAGGTATTTAAAAATCAAGATGAAGTATTTCAAAAGCCACATAATATGTTTTGCAATTAAAAACCATAGCCTTTCTTAATATGTCTGTAAGTTTAATGTTACATTTATTGTGTTCTTTATCAAAATTTAAGAACTGAAATACTCCAACTTCCTTAGATTTTATAGGATAAGTATAAAAATTTTGAAGCGGACTGGAAAAATAACCAACTAAGACTTCTTTTTCAGTCTCATAATTAATTACTTTAAACAAACGCCCATCTTTTAAAAATACATAACAGTCATTTTTATTCAAAATATTATATTTTATTTTAAACAAAGTTGTTTGGATATATTTAAAAGTTTCATTGACAACAAAACTGTGTTTATTATCTTTACAAGACATAAACATATCAGCATTTTCTGTCAGTCGTTTACAAATTTGAACAAGAGGTTGATTGTGTTTCCTTAAAAGTCTTTTAAGTTTTCCCAAAAAGCTTTCAAATGGAAAGCAACTAATTTCATTTAGGGAACAATTAAAATTTATTACATCATCTGCCAGATGCAGTAAATTATGAACATTATAAATGCAAGATTCTTGCCCATAGATTCTAGAAAAATTTTCTACAAAGCTAGTTAACATATCTTTGGCTGTTAATATCCATAAGCTACCAACAAAACGTGGACATAATAAAATTCTTAAAGCTACATGAAATAACAAAAAATGGTCATATACATCCTTGTGCAGTATATTACGAAATACAACTGGGCCTAAATATAGTAAAATAAGTCTAAATTCCGTAGCTTTAAAACGATGCAGGTCAATGAAAGATGTTGGCTTTCGACTGAACTCAGAAGGAATATAGTGAGAACAAAATTTTAATCTTTTAGACATTTTTTCTCTTAAACTAACTGGCAACCTAATGGTTCTTCTGGAATCACATTTAAAAAACCAATAAAATAACATTTTTTTCATAACTCCCAAGCAGCACAAATGCATATAATCAAGTGCAAAATTGTTAATTATGTTTAATTTTTCCAATTTTAACAAGGGGGTTACAGCTAAGTGATGTTTGGTACATTCCTGATTAACAAAATCTTCATGTGTACGTTTCCTAAAGTTTGAAAATAAATAAACCATTCTGTTTTTGTAATAAGTACCTTTCTGACAACATCTTTCACAACCAAATTGCCCATTGTGCCCAACAGTACATTTAATAAATGAACGTGCTGGTGCATCACAAGTGAAACAAAACAAGTTAACTTTTATATTAAAATTATTTAAAGAAATACCGTTTAAAACAAGATCATTTACTTCTATTATAAAATCTTTTAAAAAATTATCAACACACTTTGGCTTAGTGGTACCACAAAAAAAAGCAACTGGAAAAGGAGATATTTTATAACTAGTAATAAAAACCCTACAATAAATAAGGGCAAACCATCTATGTTAAATATAAGTTTAATGACTTGCTCTTTCAAAAAGTGTTCTTTTAAGACAGGGATTTTAAAATATAGTTCTAAAGTTTTTTTGATTCCAAAATAAACAAATTGGGTATCATTTTCAAAGATAATATTAAAAGATTTTTTATTAGTTCCCAACAGTGTACGTCCATCTAATGGTAAAGTAAGTTCTGGAAAAATATTTTTAATTCCTTTAAGCAGCTGACTTAGTTGCACCAAGTTTACATTATTTTTAGTACTCCAATTCTTTAAAAAAATCTGCAGTGTTTTACTCTTATTACATTCATTATTTACCAAGCTGGTATCATAATCTGTAAAATTAGTAGTACCACTTGTACTTTGATAGTCTGTGCCAAAACATTGGCTATCTTGAATAAATTGTTCTTGAAAGTTATCATTTAATATAGAAAATGTTTTTAAATAAGTAGTACTACTCGTACTTTGACAGTCTGTCCCAAAGTCTGTGCTAAAACCTTGGTTATCACTATTTAATTTTTGAAGTAACCTATTAATATACTTTTTTTTAAAACGGTATTTTTTACAATATAAGGAATTGCGTTGCTTATCCATAACTTAAAAATATACAATATTTAGTAAATTACTTACATAAGTTTATATTATATTATAAAAAACAGAACTGATTTGAGATAAAACGTTTTATGGTACCATATAAACAGACTTCTCTGCATAGAATAACACACACTATCATCTTTTTTTGACACACTATACTCTATGACACACACACAGAACAGCCATATACTTTTTCCACAGTACTGTGCTTTTTCTTAGGCTTTCTCTATGTAAAAAGCCAGAGAGTTGTCTCTAATAAACCAACATGCATAAAGCGCGCTAAAATATTTAGTTTTAGGTTAGGTTAGCAAGGCTTCGGTCCACGAATGTTGCCAGCTTTCCTCTAAGTTTTGTTTGTTGGATCCAAAAATTATTACGAACAATATAAACGATTAAAAATTTCATTGTATTGAAATAAAAAAAATAATTTAATTTTATTAGCTTAATACTTAAATATTTTTTAATGCTAATCGCACAACAAACATTAACAAAACTTTGTAGGTCCGGCAACGTCGTACGAATTCATGTAAGTGCCGGCAAATTCAAATAAATTATGTTTTCTTGTTCTGTTCAGAATTTCTGACCGTGTATGATTTAAGGGTTATATATTTTTCTGTATAACATGCACAATGTGCATTGCACATGTACATTTTACATCGTATAAACGTATGTAAATAAAAAGCGTACAGCCTTAGAATGAGAGAACCACATATATTTCTAAATTTTGCTAAATAAAATATATTATATAAAACCGGATAATATTAATTAGGGGCCGTCAATAAAATTTATTAATATTAATAATTAATGATGTCATACAGTTAGGGGGAGGGGGGTCTTCGTAAATGTGAGAGCCGGGGATCCCCGGTTTAGCATACTGCAGGTTGTGATGTCAGATTTTTTGGAATTTAATTAATTTTTATAAACAGGCTTTTAAGATTTTAAAATATCAGTGTGGCGTGACGCCAATGAGGAGGGGGTCCCATAATTTGTAACCCTATGTGACAATTGTCCCCTTAAGGGGGGGGGGGTCAAAAATATCAACAAAAAAACTTGTGATATCATTTATGGACGGCCCCTTTTAGTAACGGTAATAATTCAACAACCGAACATATATGTATAATATACATATACATATATATCCATATGTATAATATATGGATCCATGATAAAAAAAAAATTGTTATAAATTTCAAACTGCAAATGAGTTTTTAAGAGGTTCTAATAAATACTAATAATTATCTACAAGATTATAATCTATAGTAAGGTATGGAGATAAGCGGCACACATTTTGTTTTATGTACATTTTTAAATATTATTTAAACATTTCGGGAATATTAAATTTTTAATATTTTTTATAAATAAAAAAACAAATATTTACTTTATATTACAAAGTGAATATTACTTTTCAAACAATTAAATAATATTAATTAAATATTTGATATAAATATTTTGTGGCAAATATTTATTAAATATTTTTTTTAGATAAGAAATATTTAAATAACATATAATATTTGTTTAATATTATAAAAATATTTAGGAAATATTTGATGCTATTGGGGTAAGTGACCCCATAAAGCTAGTTCATCATCCTCTCCTCTTTGTTTTTCTACATCATGTATTATTGGTTGCTGTTTTGTTTCATCTAAAATTTCAAAATAAATTTGACCATTCAAATTTTGGTCAATAAATAAGGGACCAATAAAAAAAATCTCCCAAAATTTCTTCCCAGACATTAAAGTTTTCAGGATACTGGGTATGATTTTTTCTGATGAGATGAGAATTTTCATTGCTCTAATAACGACAATTTTGTTTGTTAACATTTCCATTTAGATAAAAATTACATCGCTATAGCAAATGTTTTTTATTATTTGAATCTGATTTGTTATTTTATTGGCCATGATTTCACAAAATTCTAAACGCCTATCTGCATCATCATCGCCAAGTTCTTGGGTAATATGCATTTTGAATGAGTGGAATTTGTGATTTTTCAACACCTTTCCAACAGACTCGGGCATCCCTGCTAATCTAGATGCTGAACGGAGTGATATTGTGGGATCCACACCAAACTGACTAAGATCCTCAATATGGTTGGCTTCATTGAGTATCCTAGGTTGGTTTATTTTTCGATTGCAAACAGATCCCGTTTGATCAAATTTTGCAACCAGCATTTGAACATATTTATCACGCACATTTTTGCCAGGGTGTTGTTTATTAAATGGCACCGCAGTTCGTAGAGCACAAAAATTTTGTGCACCAAAAATAAATATAATTTAAACACGTTTAGCCGTTGTGTAAACCATTTTGGAAAACAAACGATACTTGGTTAAGATACGTGGACAATATCTTTGCTATTTTCGATCAAAAAGCTTGCAGCTTAGATGATTTTGTTTCCAAATTGAATAATTGTACTTTCTCTATTAAATTCACCTTTAAATTAGAAAAAGATGGCCAGCTACGATTTTAAGATACCCTAGTGGTTAGATCTAACAATACTCTAGAGTTCGATATCTTCAAAAAACCTACAAGAAATGCACGGTTCATCACTTCAGACTCGAACCACTGCCCACACCATAAGCAGGCCAGTTTTAACTTTCTTGTTCGTAGGTTGGACAAACTAAACGATCCATATAAGTAAGGTTCAAAGAGCACTTGGCTAGATTTAGTAGGACAGAGAAATCGATTGTTGCCTAACATATACTTGATGATGGTCATAGCATAGGATTTAAGAACCTTAAATTTATTAAGGAAGTTAGGGAACCAAGTGTGCTAGAATAAAAATAAATCTTTAAATAGCGATAACGGAACGGTACTCAACTCTAGTTTGTATAAATTAGTTTGTTACTTTCTCTTTTCTCACTGAAGCCATTACG